GGATGGACTAAGATTCATCTTATTACTAACCATCTTCATTCTCCGAGATACAAATTGCTGCGTACCTAAAGAAGAATACAAATAAAAAAATAAAATCAACAAATTTTTAAACAAAGATTAGAATGTGGAATACTTTCCCGCCAAATTTTCTATCTGCAACAAACTTTACCGAGTTTGCCCGTTTTCCCGCGAAAATACATCGCACACGCATTTCGTTTGTTTTGACGCGTATGCAACTTTCCCGCCAATTTTCTAAGCATGCGCAGTAACTTTTCTAACAAGCCATTGTCGGTCAAGGAAGATAAAGTCACATACTTCTTTTTCTTGAGGAGCAGCATTGACTTGAAGATACCGTCAATGTCGATCTCCAGCAGACGATATAACTTGTTCACTTCGCTTTTGACCTGTGGGGAAAATAACGCCATTATTACTCAAGTATATCGTTGAAAAATATACTAAAAACGAATTCACTAAAGTTTAAGAATTCTCAAGAAAGTGTCTTGCACAATTATGTAAAAAAAGGAAAGGAGGAAAAACAAAAAATAAAATTAAAGTGTCATTATTACTCAAATATATTGTGAAAAAATACACTGAATTCACTAATAATTTACGATTTCTCGAGAAAGTGTTTGCAATAAAAAGGAATAAAAAAGGTGAACGAAAGAAGGAAAATTGAAAGAGAGAATAGAAAGGAAATATGATGAAATCAGTGGAGCAAAAACAAACAAAAACCTAACATCGGAAAAAGAAAAGAAAGAAAGGAAAAATAGGATAGAATTAGAAGCTAGGATAAAAAAGGATTGTAAATAAAAGGAATGGAGCCAAAAGAAAAGGGTTAATACAGTCAACTCTCGCCTTACGGACATCCCAATATTACGGACACCTTGCTATTACGGTCAGGAGAAAAATCACCGACAAAAATACTGACAAAGAAATGACCGAAAAAAATTTTTGCTATTGCGGACGCTCGCTATAACGGACATGAAGTGATGGTCCCGAGGGTGTCCGCTGTAACGAGAGGTGGCTGTATCGAGATTTTATTTCTTGTATAAACCTAATACCTTGTTGCCAATCTTCTTGACTTCACCGAGGTCGGTAGAGTTGGTGTTGATCATGATAGAATCTGTATCTCCATAGATTACATCGAGATGCATCTGAAGAAATAACAAAACACATCACTAAAGAAAGGTGCATCAAAACTGTTAGATTCAACGACATTTTTCTCGAATAAAAGATAAAACGTAAGCAAGATAGCGTTTACTCGGGCTTCCTTGATAAAATTCCCAAGTGCTATGGAAAACAACATATTTCACGATCTTTTCCCGAGGTAATTCGCCTTGTTATGAGACTGTTCGGGGGTGTGACCAATCGTTTTTAGTCGAATCGTCTTTTATTTTTGGCGTGCCTTAAGCCCAGGATCAACTGTATTTGTGACGGCACCACGAAAAAAACATTTTGCACTAAGGAAGCCCGAGTAAAAACAGTCCCAAGGTCGTGAGATCAATGAAACTGCTCGGTCAAAGTCACGACAGGTCACGATAGGTCACAACAGGTCACGCGAGGTCCGTATCCTGTGTTTTTCATAGTATATTTTTTATAGTTATACCAGACGACATCTCCTTAATAAATTAAAAATATTTTGAACTTACTTGCTGCACCAGGTCTTTGGTCTTCATCAGAATCTAAGAAAAAGTAAGACAGGACATTAATGATGGACAGCTGTCAATCAAAAATGAAGCTGAGTTTACAGAAGTGAAGATTAATTGACAGACGTCATAAATTGGTTAGCATGACAACGGTGGATATTTACTGTTAGTTTGGCAAATGAGCGGGAAAACGGCGCCGCGTATAAATCATGACTACAACTGCTTCAAAAACATTGACATTATTCTTCTGTCATAGCTTAACTGAGCAAATAATATCAGATATTTCTTTTATTTTTAAAGAGAATATGTAAAAAAGATTTAAGGCGAATTTGTGGTCGTTATGTTTTAGCAATAATGAGGGAAACCTGAGAAATTCGAAAATTAATAGAAAATCTTCGAACAAACGATTTAAAATCTGCAAAAACTATTCAATAATCTCTTTTTATCTTACCAACGCGTCAAACTGTCAACAGAAAGTTAATCAATAAAAACTCATAATATCAAACAATAGCGAAAGGCTTACATGTTGTTTATTTTATAGAGTAAACGTTAAAAACTATCGCATAATTAACGGGTTCTTTAGAAACTACTTAAACTACTTTAACTCGAACACAATTGCTAGCCTTGCGGAAGAGAGTTTGAGAAGATAGGTGGTTCAAAACAGGAAATATCTTCAAATCTTTTGTTTTTATTGCATGGTAAAAGCTTGTAGAGATATATTTTTTGGTAAGTTTGATCGTTTTTAGTGGTTCTGCTTCGTTATTGTGGAATGTTTTTGTATTTTCTCAGCGTCTGAAGCAACGTGGTTTCAAGAAAAACACGAAAACTTACAATAAGATTACTCGAAATTTTGAGTTTAAAAAACTACATTGCAAATAGGGAAAGCAATCATTCAATATAATAATTCTGAAAGCTGAATTTGCCAAAATAATTCGTTTTTTTTTTTTTTTTTTTTGCATCAAAATGGTCAATTTTATATTACATTCAATGTCAAGAAGCTCGCCATTAATTTGAATTTTTCAAATTGGAAACTTCGATAAGAGGGTTTGGTTTTGAAGATATTAAATGTAGCTTTCTTTCAAGTACAAAGGAATTCATATGCCAGATTATCTGAACTAAACCAGAGATTATAATAAATTGTATGTAAACATTGGTGAAAAACCTCTGCTTTGAAGTGGAATTCTTTATCGTCTGAAGAAATAGAATCTCCAGAAAATAATCGATTGAAAACAGCTTGGTTTGTGAAGCAAAAGTTTATTTTTGTCGTTGCCACTGCTGTTGCTGCTGCTGCTATTGTTGTTACTGTTGTTGCTTTTGTTGCTACTACTGTAGTACGTTGTTGATGCTGTAATTGTTATCATTATTATTTTATATTCTGCTAAAATTTCAAGCATTTGAAAAGAATTCCTAAAGAAAAGTACAGCATGCTCAGGCGTCATGTTTCGTCCATCGCCGAGGAACCCGAGGAAGAAGAACAAGAGAAAACAAAAAGCAAAGGTAACATAGGGTAGGGGGGACGGGGAAAATTGTCACCTTTGGGGGCTGAGGAAGAGAAAAAAATTATTTTATTTTATTTGCGTGCTTTTCGTTTATTACCAAAAACACGTTTTGTATGTTAGACAAAATCGCAAGCCTAACTCCTGTCGAAGAGGCAACGACGCCAACCGACGACAAACCGATTCCTCACCGAAGTTCAACCAAGAGTTCGGAGTTAACGATTTTAACCGAAAACACGCTCGATGAATCAGGAAGCGAGCAGTTGTCAGCTGATGAAGAAGAAGACGTGTTTGACGAACTCAACGAAAGCGCGAACAGACCGGCTAAAAGGAATGGGCTCCAATTTGAAAAGCGAAGGGATACCGCGTCACCTGCATCACCCAGTCCTGAATCTGGGAAAAATGATGTTGATCTAACAGAAGACCAGGTGAGAATTGGAAATTGGCCGGTTAGGTTTTGTAGAGAGAGAAAACTTGAGAGGGCGGAGACAGGGCAGAAAAACGACAAGCCCGCTACTTTCACGATTTTTTTATTTAGTAGTACCTTAAATTTTTAAGCGTTTCATTTGTGTCACTGCTGCCCGAAACTTGTGACGAAATTTTGTCGAATCAGAGTAAATCTACTTATTAGTATTCACGAAAATGTCAGTTTTTCTGCTGATCAAAATATCACCTCTCCCAAAGTACACGGCTTTATATCTCAAATGCGCATTCAATAAATTTTTGTCGCATTTGATATTTTGCTATTTGGCTCCAAAAGAACGTGTTTACAAAATATTGAGCTTAAATACGTTTTTCTGGCTTGTCGAGCCCGGAGGAAAACCCTTGAATCAAGGAAGAGACCTTATAAATAAGGCTTACAATCAATCAATCAACGCAACTACGAAAAGGGATTTGGTATTAATGGTATTAGGATACAATAAGGGAACGGAGAACTTTTAAGATTTTTTCGTTCACGCCTATTTGTTTTCTCGTTCAAGGTACGTGAAATAAAGGAAGCGTTTCTGGTATTCGATGACAATGGCGATGGTTGTATCAGTGCTACAGAACTAAAGAAACTAGTGACGTCACTGGGATATAATATCACTGAAGCAGAGCTGATGGACATGATGAACCAAATAGGTAAAGGAGGGAGGGGTGGGTAGGGTAACTAAGAAACAAGTGACGTCACTGGGTTATAACATCACTGAAGCAGAGCTGATGGACATGATGAACCAAATAGGTAAGGGAGGGAGGGGTGGGTAGAGTAACTAAAGAAACAAGTGCGGTCATTGGGATATAACATCACTGAAGCAGAGCTGATGGACATGATGAACCAAATAGGTAAGGGAAGGAGGGGTGGGTAGGGTAACTAAAGAAACAAGTGTGGTCACTGGGGTATAACATCACTGAAGCAGAGCTGATGAACCAAAGGCAGGGAGGATGGTGCATTTCACCAAGGTTTTCATGACGTATAAGACTTATATTGCGATTTCCCCTTCAGATTCAGATGGGAATGGAGCTATTGACTTTCCCGAGTTTCTAACCCTGATGTCCCGAAACCTCCAAGATACCGATCCCGAAGACATTATGATGGAATCGTTCAAAGTATTTGACAGGGATAACAATGGTAGTATAGGTGCAGACGAGCTGCAGAGAGTAATGAGGCTACTTGGTCAGGACTTTAGGGATCATGAGATTGAATCAATGATTAAAGGAGCAGATTTTGATAACGATGGAAAAGTTGGGTACGAGGATTTTCAAAGGATGATGAATACTTAATCGATAAATACTCGACTACCAACGAAGAACTAATCGTTATCTACTCGGCCAAGACCGAGATAAAAAGTGATGATAAAATAACGATGGAAAAATTTGGTACGACAATTTTCAGAGGATGATAAAAACTTAATCGATAAATACTCGACTACCGAAAACGAACTAATCGATAACTACTCGGCCAAGACTATAAGGATTATCCATTTCAGGTGGAGAAGGTGTGGAGATTGACGTTTCCTTCACGGAGTTGGCTTCGTTAGGTCTTCGTTAATAAAGTTAACTACGAGCTCTCTACGAAAGTTTAAGAAAATCATGAAAATCCAATCGATATTCATTCGGGTGACGCGCACCACGAGACTGTAAAAATGTAACTACAAAATAAAAATGGTTTTAGGTCAGAAATATTTTTCCTCGAATGAAAAATAAAAATGTATGAAATCTTATACCACAAATTAAAAAGTATCGAAATAAAAAGATAAATAAAACAAAACAAAAAATGCTAAAATTGTTTGGAAGTTAGAAAGTATTTATGCTATAGATTTATGACGTGTTCTCAACGTGAAGACCATTGAAAACGAAGATAATTTTTTCAAGGAACAACAATCATTTCTCACGCATTATTATCGACTGCAAACGCAAAGAGGTTAGGCAATTCTCTTTAGATAAGGGGTGATAAATGGCGATTAACAGACTATTTGCACCTCGAAAAACAATCGACAATTTACACCTAGAAGCAAAATTACAACGGAAGTTGATCTTGTGTAGTAACAAGAATATTCAAAACAAAACGTTATTCTAATTTTGAAGTTAGCCTACACTTTGAATTCCATTGTAAAGGAACTTTTTCTATTGGCTGAAAAGACTAAGGAGTTAAAATTAAAATAGCTTAAAAATAAACTTATCCTTAAATTTTTAAAGACCTTGATCATTGATCTGAATTCTTAAATTTCTGTGCGCCAAGTTAAATATTTCTAAAGTACAGAATTCGTCCTAATTTGAGGATTTCTCTACTGAGAATGTATTAAGTATTAAGGTCTAAAATTTTCAAAGAATTTCGATCAAAATCATGAAGCCAGTGGATGAAAACGACGAAGAGTTTCTCCTGAAAGCTTTTACAGAAGCTGACAGAGATAATGACGGAATGATAGGAGTGAAGACTCTCACGCGAACGATACGGAATCTTCGCGAAAATGTTGAAGAAGGAAAAGTTGCAGCTTTGCTCAAACGTTCAGGTAAAAATTTCTTTATAAATGTTATTTTGAAAGACATTTTCGGGTTTACTTTTAAGAAGTTCTTAACCTAAGCTAAAACTCTTGGTTTTTAGAACGATAGTTTTAAGTGAAAAAAACTGGTAAACAAAATATTCAAATGCATTAATCTTTTTTCGAGTTAACATTTTATCTTCAAGATATTTAGACGCAAGCATCAGAAAGGATACTTTAATTATTCGAATCTTATTTCAAAAAATTAAGAATATTTTTACGGTTAAAGATACGAATTTCATAAATTTTCTTAGAAGTTTTAGAAATATTCGAAACGTAAGCTCTTCACAAAGATTAGTTTCATATTTACAGGGTAAATAAAGCGAAATACTATAAATTCTTCTTACGAAACTAATTTCTTCAACAGTCATAATCCAGTTTGTAGAAAGGATATTATAATTATTCAAATCTTATTTCAAAAAATAAGAATATTTTAAAGTTTTTTTAAAAGTTTTTTTAAGTTTTGTAAACATTGTAAGCCCTTTATAAAAATATTTTCAAAAACCAATTTTAGCATCTCTTAAAAAGGAAAAAAAATAAAGAGTTAAGGGGTAAATATAAAGTACCAAAAAGCGATATTTTCAAGTTTACGAAATTTCTTTTACAATTTTTTTTTGCAAGTTCAGAAACCTTTGAAAACTATAAGGTCTATATCGAAACATAACATAAACTATATCGAAATATTTCTGATTTTCAGAATTTAACTTTTTGTTGTTGAAGTTTTTAGAACTAAGAATATGTTTTAAGAGGAAATTCTTTTCAATAAAATAAGCAATAATGGCAAAAAGCGCCAAAAACTAGACTTTCGTATGAGTTTTGATCCCAATTTTCGTTTTGGGTTAACACTAAAAACCTTTTTTAAACAGTTAGAAACTGATGTACTATGATAAAATGCTTGTTTGAAGCGGTATTTTCAATTGTACGAAGATGTTTTGTTGCATTTGTATTAAAATGTTGCTTTGTCAGGCTTTTTTATAGAGAATATATGGGAAATAAGCAAATGAAGGCCTAAACCTCATTTTCGAATAAATTTTTTTCATCTCCACCTCCAAACAAGTTAAACTTTTTGAATAACAAGATTTTAGCCTTGTACAACAGCCTTTCTTCAAGAAAATAGTTTTTGGCGCTCATTGCTTTTAATACGTTGTGGTTTTTTTTAAATTCATTAAAAAGTATTTTACTTTCATACTTTAAGGAATTGAAGTCAACAAACAATCTAACGACGAACCAGAGATCAACTTTGGTATATTTTTGAAACTTTACCGGCAGCTATCTAACGTGAATGATCAAGACGCTGAGCTGAAACGAGCCTTTGAAGAGTTCGACATTTACAAGCGAGGCTACATCGAGGGTTCAGGGATCGAGCGTGTCTTGACGAAGTTAAACATCGAGTACGCTAAGGAAGAGATTGAACTTATGATAGAAGTTGCTGATACGAATGGCGATGGAAAGGTCGACTGGGATGAATTCTTGCAGATATTCAAAAATGGCGAAGATATTGAAGGATAAAAACCGAAAGATAAAAGAATTCTAGTTTTACGTGAAACTATAGATTGAATTTAGAAATCGCTCACATTAGCAATTTCATTTACTGATGTAAAAGTTAAAGTTCTACAAGTTCAAAAATTTTCGTTTCGAAACTGATTTTTTGAATTTAAAATTTGTTTACATGAAAAAGAAAACTGCTAAAAATTTTGAACAGATAGAATTTGAGACTTTAACATTGGAATTTTAATTTAAACCAATTTTTTCACTCTGAGACACTGCTTAAAAATTAATTCTAACATTCTAATTTTAATTTTGCAGACTCTCCATGATTTTTTAAATAGATATGCAAAATTTAAAATGTTCAGGGCGTGAAGAGTTAAAAAATATAAGGATTTAAATTATCTTTTTAGTTTGTTACTTTTTCAACGTCAGTTGACCATTAAAAAATTATTTAAAATTAGTGAAAAGCAATCACAAAAATCTCCAAGTTGTAGATAAACAAAAGAATACTTATCCTATTGTCGAGAAAGTTTGCAAAAGGTAAAGTGAAATGTAGGGAAACGATGAAAACGTGGTCACGTTTGCCGTTTGCGGGAAGAAAAAACGGGAATCTTAATCTGCCTAATCTTACACAATACACCCGACCGAAAAGAAATATGGCGACCAATTGGAATAACTATTGTTTTGCACTGACTACCGACTTACCAGCCTCGTGTTCACGTGGAAACATAAAGGGGTTTTCACATGTAAGAGAGGCTAGACGGTCCAGAACAAAAATTATTCAAATTGGACGTTTGCATGATGGTAGCGTAGTGGTAGCAAAATGACGCCATAATACAAGTCGCCATATTTCGCTTCGGTGTATAATTCTGGCAATCTTTTAGCAAGGCTGACTCACCTCTCTTCCTTTGCTAGTAACTAGGGCAGCCAATGGTTTTGCATAGAATCGTGAGTGCGAAAATCCAAGACACCCGTACATACTAAAAATAAATAGTATATATACTAATTATACAACTATTTTGAATGGCATACCATGAAATATCTCATGAGGCACGTATATTTTTCTTTACAAGTGACAAGTGGGATATTCCATGGTGTGCCACGAGAAAGCAACGTATAGCTATTTTATTCCACGCAATAGAAATTTCAGCGCGTAATTGGAAGAATAAGTGGAACATTGACGAATATACGACAAATTCCTGCATTCTGATTGGCTGTATTTCTAAGGTATATGGGATAAAATGTTGATTATATCATTAAAAATCTTTAATTTTGCTCACAATATATAATGTATAATTATTACATAATTCGAACGAACAGAAAATGTAGGCAATAGCGCAGGGCAGTCATGACGTCATAAAACGAAGACAAAGGCGAAATTCGGACAAACAAACTTACAAGTTTACTTTCAGCAGATAATTTTCTCAGCCGATCGCAGTTGATCTTAGTTTACATGGGTTATTATTGTAACTTTAAGCAAAAATAATAAAATCGGTTCGTATAATCCTCGTAGCGGTTAAACAGAATGCAATGTTTGTCCGAATCTTTAAGCTATTTTTAGAATCAGTGCGCTGCGTAATTAACCCGTGAAATAAAAATGTCAGTCAACGTGTAATAGTCAAACAAACACAAAAGAAAACAATGGAATTAGGGTCTATCCTATTAGTCTAATATCCTTTTCACGGTTTTATTGACTTCACTCTATCATAATACCTTTTAGCAATAAAACTTAGATTGGAAATTCCCCTCTTACCTATTTGCGGTCAACTTCAGAGCTTTCTGACGAATATCGAACTACAAAAAGAGAGAAAAATACTGAAATATTACAACTTTTGTTTTGCTCAGAACGTTAAGATCGCAAGTGTTGGAGAAATTTTGGCCAAAATCCGGCGTTAGAAACCGTTTTTATGCTTGTGCAAAGCAATTAACTCCCGACCGACTGCACACTTTCTCGTGTTTTGACGGCTTACGTCGATTAAATTTCCAACAAAAGTACAAGATAACTTATTTTTTTCATACTAAAAAAGCAAAAACAAAACAAAACAAAAACAAAAACAAAAAACAAGCTTCGACTTTTTCGCTTCAGCATAGAGCCAATCAAATCACGTTTTAGAAAAAGACCGCATCAGCCAATCAAATTGCTTGTTCTATATAGTTCTGTACCTGAGTGTATTTATCTGTATCTCGTCCAACGGTTTTCATAAGACTTTTTACCTGGAATAGAATGATATAGTAATCTTGTAATTGTTTAAAATACAAGGGTGTCGATTGTCTAATGCTGTTATAAAAAAAAAGGTAAGAAAAAGAAAAAGAAAAAGAAAAAGAA